GCTGCTTTGTATTTTATTTAAGAAGCATTTTGTCATAAACAAAATTTATTGGCAAGTGGGATGTTGACCTCTCAGTGAAACTTTTTGTAGATAAATAGATGAGGCGACATAAATCTTTACTGCAGATTCCATCCCAATCTACTGAGTTTGTTTCAAAGTGTTGGACCGACAGAGAGCCAACAATCCTTATTTGAAGCAACACTAAGAGCTTTGTTTAAAAAGGAACATTTGGACTCCTCCTCGTCTGGGTCTCTTGGCTAAGTCTGGAAGTAATAAACTCCTCTTAGATAAAGAAAATAAGATGCATTAATTATAAAGTAGGGAGTCCAAAATGAATCCTTTGCCCCCCTGCCTCCTAATTATCCCTCTCTGGTTCATGTAATATTTACATCAGGGGTCAAGGCAGAGCAAGGAGGACAATATTGACTCTAATAAACTTCTATGAGGACAAAAAGCAAACAAACTGTACAAATTTAAGCTTCCTAATTTAACAAAGAAAAATCTGATGGCAAAATTAAAGGAAAACTACAGACTCTGTTTTTCTAAGTAAGAAGGAGGAAATGAAACAAAAAGAAAAGAAGGATAAGAGTAGGATAAATGGATCCTGAGTGTGTAGACCACCGCAAACACTGGTATTTGATCTTTCTCCATCTACCTCAACCTTTTTCATCCCTCAATCCATGTTTAAACCTCCCCTTATCCCTCAATTCTGCATGTTACCAGCTTCAGCAGTCGTCCTCTCTCCTGCTTCTCTCCTAACCCGCTCTATTATTCTGCTCTGATCTTCTGCTCAAAAAAGATATTGATTATGGCAGGACGCGATGACTGACTGCTGTATGGTGTAGATCCAATCGGCCCACATTTTTGCCTCTACTGTGCTGAGTATTTATAACTCTGGAGATTAGAGATATGAGAGCAGGGAGAAACAAACCACTGGGGGTCTGGAGTTTCCCCCCTCTCTCTGAACAGATAGTATCTAACATCACGATGAGTCATGTGAACCTTGAGCCTGACACATGTTAATATCTGTCACCAGTGACTGTTATAGACTAGAACTTTTTACCATTTCATATAAATGACTCATGCTTTAAAATTCACTTTTTCATGCTGTTAGATGTCTGTCTTTCATATTCAGTTAATGTATGATTATTGATGTCCACACAGCAGGAGCTCTCAGCGCCACAGAATGACTTAAAGGTGTTTTCTTTGCTAACAGCATCCCCTAGTGGCTGGTAGAGTTCAGTGCTCAACATTTGATCACATCTGGATGCATGTGGTACTTTGAATTCAGCACACACATCTGTGTCACATATGGACTGAGATCATTTTTTTTTTGCAGATCTAAATATATTGTGCAACATGAAAAGATGAAAAATGCAAAACAAACACAAAAGCAGGAACTCATGTTAGTTTGATCACAAGAGCCTGTGAAACATGATTTTTGGAGAGTGTCAGTTAACAGTACATGGTATCCATATGTTGGAGCCAATAAATGAAAGTATCTCTTCAGCCTCCAGAATAACCACTATGAAATAATCACGTTAAAACAAGTTTGACTTTCTGTCATAACTGTCATAGCTAATGTTTCACTTGATTTATAGATCAATGTCCAACTCAGACTGAACACAGGAGGCTTTATTAGGAGGCTTTATGAAGTCCAGTGATGGGGGCTGAAGCAGACTGCAACTAATCTTTGATCAATCTAGAATCTGGCAAGGATGGAGCCACCTGTCTGTCAACCAAGATGCACCCCTAACCTAAATAACATGCTATCTATAGTTTGGTGGACATTAAAAATCTTCTTTTTATATTGCAATTTCTTTGTGCTTAAGTGTTAGTCCCTTAAACTTCTACACTTATCTCTAGACCAAAATAAACATGGACACAATCTCTTTGGTGTAATCCATTAGTCCACTAATGCTACAGGACATATCATAAGAAAACTAAGTGCGAAACTGCATTTCTGGGCATTTTTGCATCAAAATTGCTGCGAACCTGTCACAGAACAAACAGCAGACAAGCTCCGCCCCCTGAACTCTGTTATGCAGGCCAGACTTTGAGAAATAGAGAGGACAATCACGGAACAAGTGTGTGTGTTAGCAGATTGCAATGCTCCTAAGTAAGCTAATTATGATATTAACTTTCATCATGTCCCTAAAGACATTAGTGTCTGAGAGCTGAATAGCTCCTATGTTACCTGGTACTTCTACTACACCGGCAATGTTAGGCTACAAGCTAGCATGAAGAGGAGTGTGCAGAGCAGCGCTGTCTCCGCCCACGACTCAGAGGTGAATAGCTAATGAGCTACTGGAAAATGACACCGGTAACGTGATTTTGACTAAAAACTTCATAAAAACAATTTAAAGACCACTGAAAACACTTTAAGTCGCCCTCAAGTAGACAATAGAGGGACTGCAGGTGTTTGCAACTTGGCATTTGTCTCTTTTTCATAACACCAAAGTTTCTGCTGGCAACTGCCAAAATCGAGGCATTCAAGCCTCAGAGTTTTTAAACAGCCCCACTTATGTAGTTGGTATATAGGGTACCCAACACCTATTTGATCATTTCTGTAAAGTTTTAGGTTGATATTTTAGACTTTGTGGAGTGCTGTTTATGAAAAATGTTGAGATGTGTGTTCAACCCATAGCCCCCTTGAGAAATGCTGGTTTTAAAACAAGCTGAAAAAACCCCACTACATTTGTCATCTTTTTTGGGCTACAACCGCAAATGAGACCAAAACAACAATATGTATTATTTCTATAGTTCTTTTTAATGTCTGAAACTACTAAATGACACAAGTTTAACATCACACTGCCACCATTTTGCTCATGTGAAAGTCTTGATTTGTGGCACATTTGGCTGCTCAAAGACAGGAGGCTGAACATTTTTACTAGAAAACACCATGTATGTATGCATGGGGCCAAACCAGTATAAAGCAAGAGGTTTCAGTCTTCTCAAAAGGTCAATCAGAGTGTGATCAGTCACTCAGTGATTTCACAGTAGGACTGTCCATGACTGGCAAGCATTAAAACTGGATCAGATTACCCATAATCCCTAAACTAATTTAGAGTGTTAATAAAACTAAACCACTCTACTTTGACAGGTAAATTTAGGACCACTTGACAAATACTTGCTTGATTTGACATTAGATCAAACTGCACATCTATATGTCCACTTCCACCGATAAAAACCTCCACTTACAAAGTTTTGCCTCAGTCCTGGAGCTGCAGAAGAGCTTTAGAACACTAGAGGGCAGCCAACGCTCATGTATGAACTCACCAGTCCCGGTCCCTGACATCTCGCAGCGCTGTCTGCTGCCTGCAGCTCCTCATTCAAACTGAATTATACTGTGAAATAGGATTACGTGTCAAGCAATGCAATGATTGAGCACAATTGTTGGAGTTTGGCAGGAGAGGGGAATAGAAAGGAAATACACAAACATGGATTCCTATTTGTCACGCTGATGTGAGTCGTCTGTGAAACGACATTAAGATAAGTCGATCCCTGGTGTCAAATGATGGGTATCTTTTGCATCCACACTGCCTTATTTTTTTTTTACAAGTGAGTAAAAAATAGCAGTAGCATGGCCTGCTGTTCCCTAGAGAGCCCACAGACTGAGTTATGGCCCTGTAATTATGTACAGGAGTGAGTGTGTGCATGTGTCTGTGGGTATGAATGAACATGTTCCATTTTAAAAGGCTTTTTGTTATGGTTGCTGTTTTCTTCGGATTGTGGGCCGGGGAGCGGATCTCCCTTTATGGGTTTGCTGTTTCCTCTCCCAGAGAGCTCCCTGGTACCCTGGGCAACTGAAGAGGCTGACTGGAATTATATGGAGACACGTTTAGAGTCTGAAATAATCTAATAAAAACAGAGCGAGAGAAAGAGAGGGAAAAAAGAGGCAGGGAGACATCAGGCAACCTCCTAAGTCGATGAGCTCATTCCCATCTTTCATCAGCATCTCCTGCATGATAATGAGCGGGAAATCTGTACGTGTGTGCACAGTCTGAGGGGAGGAAGAGACCTCTCTGCACCCAAACACTTTCATGTCTGAGTCACACTGGATTGACAGGGGCATCTTCTCTTCCTCTCTCCTCTGGTAACCCCTTAGTAGCCCTGACCTTTCACCTCATGGGGTCAGATCCCTCAGCGTTACTCCTGTCGAGCCAATTAACCCCTGAACTTGGATCAATTAACCCTTATGCACCAACAGCAATCAGATAACGCAGTGTGCTTTATTAGCAGGTGCAAAAAAAGCAGCAGATCAAGAGGTTTCAAATGGGCTTGATCCAAAGACAAACTTTGGGTGATAGAGAAGGCGCTGACCTGAGAGATAAAGATGTCAGATGCAAAAGAAGGAGGAAGAAGAGTGGAAAGAAAGAGAGGGGAAAAAACTCATCTATGAGTCTAATTAAGCAGAAATGGAGCCGCTGGGAGCCAGGGGAGCCCGCATGGCCATATCTTGCATTTCAGTCCATTAACCTGCTCCTAATGAACTGTGTGTTATTGGGGGGAAAGTCTTTATTAATCACACCCAGCTGGCTCACAGCAGCCGTCGATACTCGCCACTAGCTGGACAAACAGTCTGATTACAGCCGCCTGCCTGCCTGCCTACCTGCCTGCCTGCCTGCCTGCGGAGGATCAGCATTCCTCCGTTGATATTGGAGTTGTTGTTTGTTGTGACAAGTATGATGTGAACACAGACTCAGTCTTTCCCAATCAATGATTTCCACCCACCCACCCACCCACAGTGATGATAACAGGCTTCCAGACAGAGAAATATCCTATTCATTGTCAGCAGATTGTTGGAGCATGTTCAGATATCTTAAAAAAATGTTTAAAAAATGTTGCATTTGTTTTATATTCTTAGTTTAAGAGTCTGTGGAAAAATGAGAAAGTAGGGACCTCAAGAGTAAGGCAAGAAAGATGCAGGATAGGTGGAGAGAGATACTGTAGGGATAAGGGAGGGAGAGAGAGAGAGAGAGAGAGAAAAGAGAGGTTCACACACACACATACAGAGGGAGGGAGAGAGGGAGTAGAAACTGTTAAAACGTGTGTGTTCGCTCTATCCAGTCTCAGCATCGCTCAGTTTGTGCAGGAGGCTGCAGCTCAGGATCCCCACTCCAGATATGATCTACACACTTCCCAGCAGCCGCTTCTCACCAAGCTGGGATCCCTTCATGCGTTTGCATGGACGTTAACAGCCTGCTGCATGCTTATGGATATCTCATACCTCAACTGATCTGACTCAAACCCGGGATTGGTTCAAGAAAGGACACAAAAAGAGAGAGGGACTCCAAGTGGATTCCAGGAGGTTTCTATTTTTCTTTTCTTTTTTTCTCTCTCTTTTTTGGAAGCTGCAGCTCAGCCTGTGTTGGACATGGGACCGTGCGTAAGTAGAGAGGGATCCTGTGTCGGTGGAAGAGCATCTTCCTGAAGGAGGAGAAGCCCGCGTGCAGGAGTTTTTTTCTATAGTTTTGGGGCTTTTTATACCGGGGAGGGGGCGCTGGGGGGTTTTACGCGCCGGAATGATGCGTCCCAACCGCGGCTTCATCCTGCTACTCCTCAACGGAACCGCTTGTTTGGTAAGAAAATGAAAAGTCACAGTGCAGTGTTCGTGCATTTTTATTCTAAAAGACCTCTTTTGTCACCCATGCAACACCTTGCACCTGCGCCACCAGGAATAACACCAGCGCCTGCAGCCAATTTGCGTCACCAAACTTCTAAACTCGCACATATAAGTCGTGTTAAAATGTGTGCACAGGCATGCATCCTGCGGTCACTGACAGATGTAACGACATTGATCACAAAAAGATGAATGACAGGACATGCAGGTCGTGTGTATGTCTCGCAGAGATGCAGATCGTCTGCTGCGTTTTAAAGCATTTCTGAAAACATTTCTGAAATTCCAGCCACAGTGTAGGGTTATAGAGCCATGATCGGTCACTTGCATCCTGCTCGGCTCAGGTACGGCAAGTTGTACTATCACTATTCCCAGCGGACACTCGTGCAGGCAATGTGCTTTACGCGTGGTGCCGCCAGTGTCCGTCACCAGCGTTCTTGCTCTTTGCGTAGTTTGTGCCACATCGGAGTGACATTTAATATTCATTCGACTTTATTTGGATCACATAAAGAAATTCAAGTGTATGTTAAAAGTTTTCATTTCAGTGACACTTTCAGGGCAAGTAGTAAATGTAAGTTTAAGTCAACTCCACTTTTGGCCAAAGACGGGAAAAAAACAGCAAAATGAAACCAACGACTACTGCATTTTAGGGAAAAAAGTCAGTGCTCTGAGAGGGTTTCAAGAAATTGTTGAAGCTTGTGTCAGGGTGCCAACTGAAGGCTGTACTTTTTAAAATTAGACAACGAACAATATATTTATTTATCTTGTCCCCTGAAACAAAAGGGCAAAGGATGTGCTTTATAAAGACAAAAAATGAGCTTTTATTTTGGGGTCTCTTGTGCTGATGGTTCTCATCCATATTCAGATCTGATCAAATACAGTATCCGTACAGTTTTTAATGAGAAGATCTTAAATTAAGTAACACCTCTCATCAGAATAATCACTGTCTGTGTTCATAATGAGATAATGTTCATTAAAGTAAGGCTGGAAAGTTATCTCAGGGAGTCTTGGCACCTTCCTCAGGCCTCTCACTGACCCATAACACCAGATGTCGAGCTGTTTCTCGACTTTTAACGAAGACTTCCAGCATTACATAACCATACAATCAGATTTGGATCAGCCGCTCCTCTTTCATGTTTGCCTGCAGTTTTATTAAAAAGCAGCTTTTAATGAGAGATCAGCTTTTGATTCACAGGAGAGAAAAACTGGAACATCCTTCTGCTCTGCTCAGAAAGCCCTGCAGGGCTGAGTATCACAAGAGCCTAGCTCCAAAAAAGAGACAAATTCAAACAAAGTTACGAGCACAGTCAGAGGAAGTATTCAAGTGTGGTCGAGTGCTTGTTTGATGCACCTGATTGTGTCTGCATCCCGCCAAGGACGACCTTATGCTTTTCATATTACACTACTATTGAGGTAAAGTAATGGCCCTTTGGAGAGTGAAAGACTAAACACACACCGATTTATTTGGCTGAGACGGAGCTGTTTGAACAGATCTGTGAGGGGAGAAGAGACCACACGCTGGTTTCAAATATGGGGGGATGAGCGCCTTTTCAGCCGTTGTATAACTAGATACAAGAGTGTGGGATAATAGGCTTAACACACACTCTTGTGTTGTCTGGGAGCATTTTTATATGCTGCAGGCCTGCTGCCTATTGTAACTCACAAGGTCTGTGCCTAATGATAATGAAATTAATTGGGGTTTTCTCTCCCTCTGCAGACCATGCATCTCCGAAAAAAACCCTACATGTCCTCCCTCAGCAGGAGATTCTGGGTAATTCATTAGCCCCCGTGACATAGATATATTACACAGCAATTAATAAATTGAGCTACTTTTCTATTATTGAACAGAGATGTGATTAATAATCAAACGAGTTTACAATGTATTAAAATCCAATCTGGAGGATTTTTGGTGATAGAGGAGGCCTCAGGTCTGGAGGGGCCTCATCCCAATGACTCCTGTTTGCCACTCCTCCTGTTATTCATTTGATGAATGACGTGTTTCAGATGTTCATTACTGAGACATGACTAATATCAAGCCTCTCTATTGTATTATTGACTGCTTGAGAATTATGCTTACTACCGACGAAGGTCTGTTTTTTTTTTTTTTTTTCCATCTGTATAAGCCGCATTTGTTTGAGGAAACAGCCGAATATTCAGATGGATAGTTGATGCTTAATATGCTGTCACTGTGCCATCAGTTAGCAAAAAGGGCCACTTGAAACCATCATTTTCCTAGCTGATCAATCTTCTTACTAAATGTGCAGATAGATTTTTCAGCATGTATGAATGTAAGAAACAGCTGGAGTTTAGATGCTTTAAAAAGCGGCAAAGTGTCACTTTTCAGAATCTGTAATTATGGTCTCTTTGACAGGTGACCAAACTATAATGCCTCTGTTTTATATGTGTATGGTGTTAGCTTAACACCGGTAGGGTAAAATGAGCCCACAGTACATGCAGAGGAGAGGCAGGTGCCTATATGAGATAAGTTGACACATTGGAAACAGACAGAGCAGGTGCAGAGAGGTGTGACAGCAAAGCAAATGAGAGCGAGTGAGGTAAAGATGGAGCCGATAAAGAGCTAAAAAAAGACAGAAGTTAAACATCTGCCTCATTGACAGTCATGACAGATTCTTTTTGCCTTTTGCTCAAAAACAGCCAAGAAAATACACTTAATCCACACATAATTACAACAGCAGGAGCAAAGGATTGGCAATCTGAAGACTTCTTAAAGCAGTGCGGCAAAGGAAAACGTAACAATTGGAATAACTGACAAAGAAGGGAGAATGAAATCAAATGACCCTGGACAGGGCGGTGAACTTATCTGCTCCATTGAGCTGCACTTTCTCCTCCCTGCAATTACACCAAATCATTCCACTCCAGCTCCGAGTAAATGTTTGCTCTTCATCAACACGTCTGACCAAAGTGCTGCTTCAAATTTCAGGAATACAAACGAACAGGGAGGCATGAATGTTCGTGCTTAACACTGAAGTGCTCTCTTTTACTTTTTTCTGGCCTTGCTAGCGTGTAACCTTCATGTGCAAGCGAGGCCCACGGGAATTTTCTAGAGGGGATGAGACCTCAGGTAGCCTCAGCACGGCCGTGAGAGACAGGGTGGCTTTTATAATCCCTGTGATTTTTTTTTTTTTCCCTTGTCTGCACAGACGCAGGCATGGTCATCAAACTTGATAGGTGGATTTCACTTCAGCTGCTTTTTTCTTGGAAGAGATTTCATACGTACTCCACGGTTTTCTTTCCTGTGAAAAAAAGAAAACACGTGACTGACTTGTGCAAAACAGCATCAAAAGTTAAGCCAAACTTTTACCACCACCCTTCAGGTGACTTTGCTACCAGCAAGGAAAGACATACTCACTTAACATGACATGTCAATTAAAACAAAAAAAAGCTCAGAGACTTAGGAAACAAAAAGCATTACAAGTACATAACTGTTCAGTTCATCACTGTACCAAGATCAAACTGAGTATGAGTGTTAGATTACAAAAACAGTGATTATTTAAACCACATCTGATTCCTTTCTGGGTTTCAGCCTGACAAAACCTCTCACATTCACATTTCTTGGATACCTGTCCTCCTCTCAGGGTTGCTCACCTTGTCCAGGCAGATTCATCCCAGCTGAGCAGAAATACCACCTCAATTCTGAGAAAACAAACTGAAAAAAAAAGAAAAAAAAAAAAAACCTCATCTCATACAGCATATAGTGTTCGCAGACGCAAATGTGAGACAGCAGCCGCAGAGTGAATACTAATTTTTTCCTTTTTATTTATCCGGTTTTCTCACTCTCCAGTCTTCCTCTCTGCCATCATCATTGCAATCGGCTTGTCAGAGCTCGTAAGCCTCTCATCTCCTCCTCACAGCCCACACACACACACAAAAACACAGACAGCACAAAAGTCATTCATAATTGTCGAACTTGTATCGGAAAGGAGGGTTTGAAACGCACAGAATGGTTTATTGTGCGAGTGACATCTCTCTCCCTGTGAGTGCAGAAAGAATCATAATGGAGGGATGCGGAGGGGACAAGTACCAGGTTGTGGCACCTTCACGAGACGCACAATAACACACTTCCCTCATTGTTAATTGAAAGGCATCCCAACTGCACTCAGCAGCATCGAATCTGAGATTGCTAACTGTGTATAGATGTTCAAATAAACACGCATAAAGAAAACCGTTACGGCTTAAATGTTTAAATAGAAACTTAAATTGAAGTGATTTGTCGTAGTAATCAGACTTCAAATAATGATAAGTGTCAGCTTATTGTACACACTAGATAAAAACATGTCATGGATCAAATACAGATATTTATAATAGATTCATTATGTGATGATTCAGAGGCCAAAATTATGCTTTTTATAGACAATAGCAGCTGTCAACATTTCTCTGTCAATCCGAAAGCAAAAATACCAAACATTTGTTTTCAAGCTTCTCCGATTCAATGTCTGCAGTTTATTTCCTGTCATATAACATTTACACTGAGAGAGGCTGGCATAGATATATGTATTTACATATACAAAATCCCTTCAATAACTTATTGAAATGTTGCATGCAGCAGAAATTTCACCCAGACTTTCTCCTGCTAGCCCTCTTGTAAAACTTCTGTGTGAGGTCAGGGTGAGCTGATGTGAGAATGCAGCAGGAAATATAAGAGAAAATTCACCACAAGCAAGCAGGGAGAGGTGATGACATTAATATCTTGAGACCAGTGCAGACCCAGAAGAGCGACATGTAAAAGGCTGAATAAAAACATCCAAAGAGGAGGAGGAGGGAGAATCCTTTTTAAGACGAGGGCTGAGAAGATGTCTGCACATCTGTTCGTTTGCACATACCACTGATACAAATGCACCAACCATCATCAGGACTAAAATCTCTTTTGATTTGATCAACATCATTTTCTAAATATTACACTGATATTTCAGTGTTTCTGTTGTGGGATTGTAAGAGCTGTCCCTTTCACATAAAACTGCTGAGAGAACAGAAACAAGCCAGAAATTTTTGACATTTGTGGGAAAGAGCTCCTGAAAATCATTAGAAAATTTCAGGACTGTATCACTGATTCTGACTGTCATCGCAGCAGAAGAAGTCGTTTAAGTATAAAATATTTTTTACAAGAATTAACACTTTATATGAACCCACCTCTTATAAAGTACATTTATTAAGCATTATAAATGCATCTATAAGGCTTAATAACAACTTTAATGAGTGATTCAAATAATTTAAAACAGCCTATAGCAGTGTTCATGAAGTGTTATAGCTGAACATAATGCCATATAAAGGTATAGTCTATTACATGGATATTATACTTAAATGCAAAGGAAAGAGAAAAAAACAACTCTCATTACTTTACCCAGTTAGAAGGAGTCATTAAGAAATCAATCTATACAAAAACTTTAAAAAATTAATACTCATAACATGCTAAAGCCTGGCTATGGAGAGCACTGTTTGCAGTTATTAATCCTATAACACATTTATAACAACTTATAAGCAGAATTTTGTGGCTGTAAGTAAAATGCCAGACCAAAATACTTTATAACATTACATTTATATGTAACTTTTATGTATACTTTATAACATTATAATAAATTATTTTGTCTTTTTCCCTATACATTATACATTTCTGAGGCTTTATGCTCACAGTTCACTTAATAAACCAGTTGTAAGCTGTTATAAATAATCACTCAAAAGGATTGTTATAAAGCCTTATAGAGGTACTTATCTTTTTTTCTTGTTTTCCACTTACTTTGTTGTTATCATGTCAACAACACCAGACTTGTAAAGGAAAGCACTTTACAAAATTGTTTTTTTTCTTTAATTATTCTGGTTCTGTCCAATAAAACTGAGATTTCAAATTCATGATAAACTGTCTGTAAGTCAATAATATCCAAATCACAGATCCATTTTGCAGTAAAATCAGGACTCTAAAATGAACAATCGCTCCAATGACTCAAATGTGTCGTACATGTTCACTGATCCTATTTATTCACAGTCAGCACAGCCACCAGAGGCAGTTTAGGGTTAAGATTCTTGCTCAAAGACTTGGGACCCCCTGTCTGAGAGATGACTGAGTCTACCACTGGACCACAGCTGCCCCTTTATCATTCCTAACAATCATCATATGAATTCTCCATACTTGTAAAGATAACTGCCACTTTTTTATTGTTCAAATACAGAGCAAACTGAAAACTGGCAAACAAGAAACCAATATGACCCTGGAGAAGCAGTGGTTGAGCAGCGCTGCCTGTCTCATAACAGACAACCTCTCCGGTTTCCTGCCTGTGCTGTAAAACAGCTTGAGTTATGCACGACCACAGCGAGAATGACCCCAGAGGTTCACCTCAGCCGGGACCCCCAACTCCCCCCCATCCCCTGTCTTTCCACAGCTTCCTCCCTCCACCCCCTCTACTCCCCTACTCCCCCTCAGGCTCCCAGCAGACAAGAGGGGAAGACAGAGAGAGACAGACAGAGAGAAAGCATGCTCCCTGACACACTGACAGCCCTTCATATTGAAGTGCTGTCCTGAGACAGAATACGCTGTCTGCTCCGAAGGCAGCACAATTTACTGTGGCACTGCTCTCTGGGAGACAGAGCAAATCCTGGAAGAATATATGTAGGTTTGTCTGCTGGTTTCGGATAGTGAAGGGTGGATTACAGAGCACAGCTTAAAGAAAAATGACTCGTAGCCTCGGGTGGAATGAGTGGGTGTAGCTCCCGAGGGATCCAGATAAAGATGCGCTTGACTTTCACACAGAGGAATAACTAAGGATAGGAAAAATCCATAACAGACGTTTTAATTTCACAGAGCTTCTGTAGACGCTTACAATAGTCAAAGTTGTTCTTCTACTGCAGTGTGAAAGAGTCAGTATAGAAAGACAGTTTTTAGCATTTTAAGATCTGAAAGCGTGCAAACAGTGTAAGAAAAAGGCAAAGTGGGAGCAGGGGAGGTGTATTTATTAAAAAGGGGTACACCAGCCTGTCAATGAGCTTTTCTGATGCTGCAGGCCCCGAGGTTCTTGCCTACCTCATCAAGGTGTGACTGCAACTACCTGATACAACACCAGCGCAAAAGCCCATTTATATTCCCAATCCTCTCACAATCTGTAAACAGTCTGTTCTGCGTGAATGAACAAGGAGTGTGCAGTTCACCAGCGTGCTGCCCGGTGACGCTACAGTGATTTTCAGGGTCAGAGTGGTGCACATGTCCAGACGAGGCATGCTGAGGGTCCTTACAGGGGGATTCCAATTAAAGCGCTGCAAAGCCACAAGGATCAGGGAGTTTGGCTGGGCTTGAAAGCAGAGCGTTTTAAGAAATGGATAATGGGAGCATTTTGCTGCAGAGTACGGAGGTCTCTGCATTGAACAGAGAGTGAGTGCTGCAGAATATAGGACAACAATGACTGGCAATTATTTCAACCTCTATTTCTCCAGGAAATGTCAGTTTGAGCAGTCATGCAATTATTTATGCCCCACCACACAGTGACCCTGTTGAAATCTGGAGTGTTTTCAATTTGTAAGGACTTTGATGACCTAAAGCACAAAATCCTTTTTTTTCCCTAATGCACTTTCATTAAAAGGTGACATAAGAGTTTTTCTTAAGTGTCACTTCTGAGTTACTGTTATGGCATTACTGCCTTCATGACTGAAGTAAACAAAACATGGCAGCCATTGCCTTTGGCAACATGCTGAGAAGCAAACAGTGCCGCAGTGTCACACTGTTGCATTATCTGTAGCAGGGTTTTACCATAGACTGTATATACTATGGACAACTTTGCTCCGCCTTCCGCCGTTATGCGGATTTGAAGTTGAATTGCTCTTGGTTTTTCCAGGCTTCCTCTCTTCCTGGAACCACCACTTGCACAGTGGTGTTGTACGCATTCGGCATAAGAGTCACCGAGAGTCGCTGTGATGACACGCGGCTCAAACAGGATATCCCCCGAGTGAGCAACGTAATCTTCGTACGCCCATGGCTGTATCAAGTGTCAACCATTGAAAACATGAACCCCCTCATAACATTTAAAAATGGAGCTGCACAGAAAAATAGAGGACTTGAGCACAAACCAGTCTGACAGTCACCACATGTCAACATCGCAAGCAGGGGGGAGAAAAATTCATATTCTGTGTAATAAATTTCTAAAGTTTGTCCACAGCTCCATAGGGATTGTTGGAGGAGGCGGGATTTATGACCTATACTGCAGCCCATCACCAGAGGGTGCTGTTCTTGCGGTGGCGTCACCCAGCGAGGAGGCAGATGGCTTCCATTCTATATACAGTCTATGGGTTTCACACTGTTTTTCATATCAGAAAATTAAAGACCCTTACAGAGTGTGGACTTGGTGGTTTTGTAAAATAATAGTGTATAATCATCGTATCATGAAAATCATTTTGTTCTTGCTGACTTAGAGTTAGCCTTTATATTAGGAGCAGGTCCCCCTTTACAAAGGGCATCATACACTCATGTTTCTACAGTAGCACAGAATGGGGAAAAAATGATCACTTTTGTAATTATATAAGTCACTGTGCACAAAATAATTTGTAATTATTGAAGTTTTTTTTTTTAAAACTTGACAAAGGAAGGACCTTGCTCATCGGGCATCGAGAGCTTCTTTTCCTCAAAGTCTACTGTCACTTCAGTGTTACAGAGGAGAATCTGGCAGCTGGATAATGCTCAGTTTCCTCATTTTACTCACTGTGCCTGAAAGACAACATCTTTGTCTAGTTCATATAAACTTTGCTGGAAATTGACATTTTCATCCATTAATGATTTAGTACTAAACATTAAAACTGGCTGTCAGTCAAATTCCCAGATATCAGTTACCTTGTTAGCAGAAGAAGTCAATACGTTTACATGCACAATGAAGCTTGTTACTATCAGGTCATCTCCTGGTTGACATATTACGTACTAAAACAATGGACAAAACACATTAGTAAGAGGCTACCATTGAACAGTGAACAATGAAAACAACATCACTTTTACAGCTCTGTACCGTTTGTTGATACGATAGCAAAGTTTTGTCCTTTTTTAATGTCTTGTCTTCGTCAGACAAAGTTTTTTATGACTTGGCTTCCTAGCAACGCATTTCTGCTGTTCAACTTCCTAAAAGCCTGGCGTGCAAACTCTGGAGCATGCTCAGAACACTCTTTAGCCAGTTTTGGTCCATTTGACAGAGAAAATCAATTCCCAACTGCATTATTTAGCTGAGTTAGTCTGATATTGAGGAGTTTGATTAACTGTTGGGCTAATGTGTCTAAGTTCCAGTCAGGAAACAAATTGTATATTTTGAACAACTGATTGACACATCCACGACTTCAATACTGCCCTAACAAGGATCTTTTTGATAGGATGTCAAATCTGAGACAGTCATTGGCTGGTGTTTAACATACATTCTATCACGATGTATAGAATAAAGCTGTTTAATAATAATGTTAATATTTTTATTCTTTCTCAATAATTTCAGATATATGAGACCCTTGTGGTGATATTTTACTGAGCCATATATCTTTCCATCTGCTTTCATTTAACACAACATTAACCTAGCTCTAGCAATTTGCTCTCTCATTTGTTTGTATCATACTAAAAGAAACTATCAAAGTAGTATCAGTATTATATACCATGTTTTAGTCAACATGCTGGCTCAACAGTGACTGAACTGTAGGGATGCTCCTTCAGTTACTGTATTATCATGTCGTGGCTGAATTCTAACTTGAGCCATTATCTATGTACAAACTATACTTTTTAACTGTTATGTCTTTTAAGACACAGAACAATCAAGAAGTGGCCAGATTATCTGAATTTATATGATTTAAATCAGCATGTAAGCGTCCCACTCTTTGCTTGAAGTCAAAGGAAAATCGCCAGTGTGGCCTGGGTAAATCATTCTTTGCTTAGTGTGTCTTTGGAGCAAACGGGTTCATTTCCCTGAGGGACGAGCTGAAAAGTGAGAGCACGTTAGTTGTTTCAGCATTTGAGTCAAGCAGTTTCTCTGTCTTTTCTCAGCCCAGTTGAGCTGGACTGCGGTTCACACCTGCCGGCAGGAAGCGTTTCAAATGTTTCACAAGTAAGCACTTGCGATCAGATTTCACTTCCTTGCTTGCATGCGGTTTTATCTGTGAAAGACTACAGCTCCGTTGGGGGGAAAGAAAAAAGTTCAGCAAAGGGAAGCAGCTTGTGGTGACAGTTTTTGTTGATGACTGAGCTGTGTGGCATATGCAGGTGTGTTTGGGAGCTTTATACTCTGCATGCAACCTGTGATGTTCGACAGAGCTTCAAAGCAATCGAGGATGTGTGCGTGTTCGCCATACAGACGAAGGCACATCTGGCCGGCATTTAGATGTCGCTGACGTGATCAAGTCTTGAAGCATCCTGAGTGCAGCCACATCTGTATTAAAAGCCACTCATACTTTCAGGAAATATGCTTTTTACTCATACCGTTGAACAGCTGAATCCTTGTCTTTTGATTTGACCTCTTTGCACCTTCATGAATGAACAAGAAAGCATTATTTAATTGCTTTTTACAGGGGGTTCAAACTAGCTATTGTACTGGAATTTGCTTTCAATGTCAGTCGTTCTCCAATAGAAGGACTGAGGCAACAGGCATTAATCAAAAACAATTTGCTTGAACCTGTATGTGACAATGACGAGTCCTTCCACCTTTTACCAGACAGGTGTGAATAAGGTTTCAGCCCCTTTAATCAGCCCGGTTCCATCAGACCTGGCTTCATTCGCCGCTCTCGCCTGGGAGAAACCATCTCCCTCTTCTCCCTCCCTGCACGACCAACTTGTCAATATCTTATAATGTAAAAATTTGATAGCCAATTCAGAGCCCAGCTTCTCTCTAAGCATACAAAATGAGCCTGAGTCCACAGGGAACAAAAGTGCGAACCTGTCCAAAATGAGCTGAAAGCAGCACGAGGATACAGAAATAAAAGAATTGATTGTAAATTAAGAGTTTAGAATAAAAAAAAGAAAAGAGTGAGTGTGGGGAGGGGTCACCCACTGCAGATCTGACCCCCAAGAAGCTGGAGTAAATTATTCATTAAGAGTCAAATGGCTTGTTTCTTGTGAAATTACCTTTCTCTCCCTCACCTCCTCCTGGATGCATGCTAGCCAGAAGAATAATTAGTTATAAGGCCACCACCATTTTCAGACTTTAATCATGTAACAGAGAAGCCCCCTGCAGTGAGCATATTAGATCTGGAGACAGAGTGAAGAGACGGAATAAAAAAGAAAGAATAAAGCATCGACGAACACTTTAAAATCGCAGCTGCCTGGGTTCTTTAATTAAAAATTGATGTCATATTAGAGATGAAGATTTTAACTCAACAGAGAGAGGAAATGGAGTGCTTATTGAACTTGTTAGCTCCCGGGATGAGCACATGCTTTCAGGCCCGATGGGTGGTTGTGTAGGCGGGCTCTATGTGTTAATCAATCAAACAATCAATCACTTTACTTTATCCAAGATCATACATCCACTAAAACACTATTTTTTAAATTCATAACACATCCGAGTGAGCTTTTTCGACGATTTGATTCATTTTGGGCTCTCTTGTTTATTTTTCACCTGTTATCAACATGCAAAGGTGTGAAGAGAGAAAGTAACAGGAGCGATTGAAAAGATTTATTTTCCCATTTACACATAGAAGTAGACAGTAATAACACTAAAACTTAAATACTGGCTCTAGCCAACAATTAGAAATGTTCACTTTGTCACTTCATGCTGACTGTCTTCACCAGCTTGTCTCTCTAACATGTTTTTATAAACAGATTCAGAGTAGTCTTGTTTCACATCTGTTGCTGTAAAGTAGTGCAGGTAAAAATCATCATCATGATTTGTCCATTTATTCACAGTGTCCTCATGTCTAAACTGTTTACCCTCAAATCTCAACTACAGAATAGTTCTGATTTGATCCAACAGAGAACTTCAGAATTATGCTGTGAAACAATGGACGGATGCTTGGCTTTCAAGAGAGACAAGAAAAATCCATCACTCACAGTTTTTAAACAAACTTTGTATGAATACTTAAAAAACACATCTTAAAAACTATTTTCCTTTATTCATGAACAATGTTGACTACAGAGCAGAGAGGGACTGCAAGCTCTCTGAGGGTTTCCTTTCAGACTGTTCATAAAACTGTTCCAAACTTCCTGACTTCCACTTTTTAAGAACTTCTTCTCATTCATAAACATGCTGACTCTGATGCTGCCAGTGAGCACTCTCATGATCTCTTGCTGTTTTCAATGCTGCCTTCTTTTTAATTGTGACAATATTCCACGTTGTGGGAGGAAAAGCTGTTTAATTCGTCTAATTCTAGACTATGGGTGCCCTTGTAAAAATATATATTATTAATGAACTTAAACATTTAGAGTCATTTAAATTATATATATTTATATAGATATTTATATATATGAAATGATAAACCCTCATATTAAAGAGAATTCTCCCCATTGTTGTGACAAAGTCACAGCAGTAAGCTTCTTTTTCTCACCTTATTTGTGCATCTGGTAAATCTCTCACGTCTTCGGCAAAGGCGTCATCATCAGCAGTGATCTTATTCTGGCAGCCAATCAGAGTGGGTGTGGCCTCTCACCGTGGTAACCCTAAATTAAAAAAAATGCAGAGGCTGGTCTTACGCCTTCTGTTCATATCAGCTAAATGCAATCTTCCATACTCTGTTGGGATTCCCAGCTACATGTGCTACAGATGGTGCTGAGAGTTCTCTAAATCATGGAAAAACCATGTGACAACACTATTACATGATTACATAGAGGATCATTTTGTTTTTAATATTAAAAAAATATATACCCTGAAAAAATACACACCCATGTCTATATTGTGGCTATATATTATCGGCCTAAAACAGATATATCAGTCAGGCTCTTCTTAGGATAACATCTGCAATTTTTTTTTTTTGCTTTTAGAACCTAAAAATTCACATAAAGTCTTTTGGTTTAAATCAAAGCATGGGTCTTATTTGGGGACATTATCCTCTCTCTCTTTTTTTAGTCAACAGGCTGGTCTTTTCCTTTCCTCCTGCTTCAGTGAGAGTTATAGCTCAAATTCCATTTAAGTGGCTCCCTGATCTCAGGGCTCGAGTCCAGCCATAGTGTGCTTGAGTCACCGGGGGGAGAGGGGTTAAAACGTTGTACCTGTCACTATAACAGGCTGATTATTGCCTGTGGAACTGGTAGGCTTGTGTGAATTTGCTCCCCTCCCGCCCTCCTCCCTGCTGGGAGAAAGGCCTGGGGCCCGTGCTCACTGAGGCTGAATGACTCACAATTACCACAGCGACAGAGCCCGCAGCCACCTCCCATCCTCTCCAGCCGTTTCACTGACTCACTTAGCGCACATGACAAATGACAAAATCACCCTGAACCTCCGCCCCCTCACTAAGACCTGATTGCCCATCGCCCACACTTTGCCTTCAGTACTTAAAGCTGGGATACATCTTGCCAAGCTTCATGAAACGCAACAAACTAAGTCTCAAGCAACTTGTTTAGGCCTTTTAAAGCAACGTTTTACAGTGTTACTCTATGGTGCATATTTTAGAGTGACCCAGTGAACAGCCTACCCCTGACATTACTGCAGAAACACTGCTGTTACACGTCTTTGAAACTCATTAAAACTCTTCTCTGGCGGCTGAAAAACTGATATTATTTGTGGTGCATCATCAAAGGAAGACTTCTTGCACTGTATTTTAAATAGGAGAGAAATGAGTGGCACCAATACCCATAGCAGACATTATACCACTCAGCTCTTAACAATACGGTGCCAGGGTATGCATAATAGAAAGTAAAAATATTACACTAAAGTAAAGCCTCACATTCATCTTTTGGTATTATGAAGACAGCAGTGAACTTTAGGACTCTGACACTATTTTAACTTGCTTACACTGCAGAAGTCAAAGCTAGGAGCGTGCTGATAGTTCAATCTTACACCTCATATACCCTCCTAGTTAAACGCAGAGTGGCGAGAGAGTTGTAGCAGTTTGCAGTTTTTCAGAATGGAGCGGAAAAGTAGAGAGGGCTGTAATATTTGATGATGAAAAATATGTTGCTTGCAGCTGCATAACGCTTGACCTCTGAGACCTGAGAAATGCATTAAAGAGCAGTTATAAAACATGCAGATGGTATGTTATATACGGCACTACAGCCCACTTGTTAGAGCGTGGATGTGCAATTATTACACCACATGCATATTTGAAGACGTCACAGAGGAGTGGACATCAACACATCATGTAATCCCTCCCTGTAGAAATGATAACAGCTCCCACCTCAGTTTTGGCTTCATTTTCTCACAGCCATTTTAAGCTCATTATTACGTTTGTCTTTCATGCTGCACACTGAATCCAACACCTCGAGTAAGGCTGGATACTCACATTTTCTGTTCAACAACAGCACAATGCTTTCACACTCACTTCATCTCTCCTCCTGCAGCCTGTCCTCAGACAGACAGGGACGCCTCCCCCAATATGTTAGCTGCAAACTGCAATATGCTTCTGCTAAGATAGGAGTTTTGGTGCAAACCTAGAGTCACACAAGATGAGGAGCATTGCCAGCAAAGTGATCAGGGTCTTAAAAGGCAAGGGGCAGTTTAGTTTTAGAAATCAAAGCAAATACTTTTCAAGAACTCTAAAGAGCCGTTTTGTTGGACACCACAGGGGCTCTTGAGTGAGCAGAGTGCTACCCTCTGAGCCCAGCAGTCAACGGCTCAATGAAGAGGAGAAATCAAACACAAAGTAGTCCCTCAATAGGAGCCGTGAGGAATGGCATATTTGCCATTAGAGTCAGCCTGTGTGGCCTTGGATGACCTCTTAGAAAAAAAACATGACAAAAGTTGAAAATGAACTTATCTTATGACTCTTCAAATCTGAATTAAAGACCTGTGTCATCATTTAGCTCTGCCTCTTTTCGTCTCCTCTCTTCGTTTTGGAGCAACACTGGTCAGCATAGCTTTCTTCTGCCTTGTACTTTGTACCTTGGACAATTAAGCACCATTTTGCAACCCTGCTAGAATGCAAGCATTACATAGCGTTATAGGGGTTATGCATTTAAGGTGCAACTATGAACTGCCAAGAAAACTGCAGTATAGAAAGGGCAGGAAGGGAAATGGCAGCTGAAAAGAACTCCTGGCATGCCAAAAAGCTCTAATGTAAACTAAAGTGCTAAAAAGGAGCTGAATAGACGGTGTGCTTTCTATTTAAATGGGGGTATCATGTTTTTTTTCAGACTCTATGGGCTCTATTTTCGTGTACGCCGGTGAGGCGGCAGAGGGTGGCGAGCCCCGCGCAGTTGTATTTTCGTCTGGCAGAGCCCGGCGTTCAGACAGTTTGGTATTTTCGTGGACTGAGGCGCACGGAGGCGAAACGAGATCCGCCAAGCTGGGCGTGGTGGCGTGGCAGGGGGAGGTGTCGACAGAATCAGCGGGCACAGTGACATTTTCGTGCTCGCCACCGGCGTGTAAAGTGCGCTGAAAGCTCGCCGACTCAAACCTGGTCAGCTTTCAGCGCAGGCGGAGCGCAGCTGGTCTAGTAGTATTTTGGTAGACCGGCAGCGTATCGACATACGTCACCGATGCCTCACCAGCAGGTTTCCACAGTGTCAGGCACATTTCAGTGCAATAAATAATCATCGACAACTAACAATCTGAGTCAGTACATACATTTAGATCTATATAGATATATTCTGATCTATATCTGATCTGATGAGCGCGTTTGGCACGCGTTTGGACACACAACCTGACCAAATCAACACAGCTGAAACCACATTAAATTAAATTAAATATCTAGTAAATAAACACACATGATGAAGTTAACTAGATATTTAATTTGTCTCCCTCCTTTTCTTTCATCCTCCTCCTCTTATTTCTCGCACAGCTCGACCTGGACACGTCTCCGTGTCCTCTCTCCGTCCTGCTGCAGCGGCGGCTGAACAGATGATTTGTTTCAGTGATCAGATGAGTTATCTACTTTAAGCCGACATACGGATATTATAATATTCAGTTTTGTGAGGCAAATTTATTTTATATGCCAACATCTATGAAAGAAAGAGCCAGGCCACAGAGCGCGATGCGTCATTTACGCACAGATGCTTCCAATTTTAATGCCATTTTAGGAGTTTATGTTGTGATCTGTGCGCTAAACCCACCTTTGTCACGTGAGGTTTGAATATATGCAACTTTATGTGAGTGTCTGTATTTGTGGAAAAGGGTGTTTGTCTTGCCAGTGGGTCCAACATTACACACACCAAATCCATCTGTGCTTATATGAGAGAGTGTGGAGGACGCCCAATGCAGCGCTTACAGCGACCCTTGTTGAGGGGCTGCCTTCTGTCGCCATTGTGTGGCATTACTGTCTTCAGACATCTCTTGATCTCTTTGACTACTTCACGAAAATGGTAATACGCCTTGCTGGTGGCGGATTTAAAGGCAAGGAGAGGAGCTGATGTGATTGGTGAAAACAGGTCTCGGCTGTGTTAAACCCACTCCACGCCCTCTCTCCTCCCTCGCTACGACTTACGCCGCTGGGAGGAGCTTTAGTTAGGGAGGGGGGATACTTATGCCGGGCTGCGCTGCTCATCAAAATACCAAATTGTGCTTGGGAACGTCTTGTCGGCGCGGCAGACCTGACTTACGCCGCGCCTGCGGCACGTCTCCGGCGAGGCATGAAAATAGAGCCCTATATCTCCCTTGTGATACCTCTTCAGTGGAGCTACACAATTTTAAGATGTAAAAAAGCCTCAAATTTCTCACAGTGATGTATCAAAACATCATTATTTTAGCCTCAGCCCTGAAATGCTTCCTTTTAGCTACTGTCTCTTTAAGAACTTTAGTCAATCTCGCACATAAATCACTGTCTCGCAATTTTCGCATTTGTCGGAGATTTTGTGATTTTTCTGTGATTATGACAACATATGTTTACCTTGTGATTTGAAACTTTGCATAAGTCATAAGGACACCAAACTTTGTAACTTTGTTGCAAATGTGTCCTCCCAGGGGTGGGGGGCATGGCGGCAACAGTAGGTTTGACTGAGAAATTATGTGAATTAGTTGATGACGTCAGCGACTTTTACGCCAGCCACTAGCGACTTTCCTTACTGAGGAGTTGGCAACACTGCAAAGAAGAGGAAGTTCTTCTGGAGGATGGTTGACTTAGCTACAAACATGAAACAAGAGTTGAAGGTCTTTGGTCTCTGTGGTAAAAAGGCCAGATTAAGGGGAAAACTGACCCCTCTCATGTGAGTCCAAATGGTAAACCACAACCACATCAGCGGGAAAACCCTCAGCTAAGGCAGTGGAAATACGATCCATGATGTTATGAAAGGAAATGCGCGTTTTTAGAGGGACAGAAAATCAATATCACTGACTGACTGCCAAGCGAGTGAACAAATCCGAGCGAGCTTGAAAAACCTGCATAAAATGGAATAAAAATGAGTCAGACTTAATAATCCCAACTAAGCCTGTGTAAGGAAGCGCTGGCAGTCAAGACAGTAGATGGATCAGAGCACAGACAGAAATGCATGCATTATGCATAGTTGTAAAATCTCCCTGGGTAGTGCACACATACACACTCGTTCACATCCTGCCTTTAACGTTTGCATCACTTATTGTTCTCTCTTACTACAATTTTAAATACACAAATGGGTATGTGTGTGTGTGTATTCACTACTGTCAACATTCAAAAGACATTCTAGTGCTGGATTTTGCCATGGAACCTGTCCATACCTGTTAATTTACTGTTATTTTGGAGTAATTTTTTTGTCTCATAGTAAAACCCAGACAACGCCACTGCTTTCCAAAGTATTCAAACTCCCTCAGCAATCCCTCAGAAGCAAAAAGGAGTGTTTTGAAATGGGAAACACAGCTTAGTCTACTTTCTACCTCAAGTTTTTCTCTTTAAGGTTTTATGAGAGAACAAATTCCTCTCCAGTTAGAGGATCTTCAAGTGACCTTTTCTTATTTTGTTCCAGGAAAATGGCTTTTTTGAGAAGGGGAATGTAGAAATAGGTGTTTTATTGGATGAATTCAGCTCTTTTTGAAGCATCAACAGTCTTTAAAAAGAGCATAAATCAACCTTTAACCTCTGCTGTCAGAGAAACAACTCTACAAAGCCTCTCTTAATGACAGTGCTTTGCTTTTTTACAGTATTACAGCCTTTGCAGAAAACTGTCCCCCGTAAGAATTATTGATTGAACTGCCCAGACACCACCCAAGTAAAACGCTTTATGTGAATTGAGTTTTGGCGTGGATTTTCTGTTTGAATCTGTTCTCTGATCCCTGTGGCTTCAGCAATAGCTCGAAGGAGGCATATGAGCCCATTACTAGCAAGCTTAGGGAATTACGTTGGCTCTGTGAAGACTAGACATAAAGGAGTATTTTCTCCCACAGCAGAGGTAAACAAAAGAATGTAATAATAGCAATACCTGCAAAATAACAGCCTTTTCTTTATATATATATATATATATATATATATATATATATATATATATATATAACATTGATAGAATGTCAAAGCTACTACCAGTAGAGGTATGAACGGTAAATTAAGTATTGATTAGACCTTTAATTTCTTTCCTGTCCATGTTTCTTTCTACCACGTTAATAACTGCCTACTTTCTTTCTCTATTTTCTTCTTCGATACCACCCCCCTCTTCTCTCTAGGTGGCCTTGAGTCAAGAGGACGACTCTTCCAGCCCCAAGAGCTCTTCAGACGACTCCTCCTCCTCCAAGACGGTGGGTCTCCTAACCGGGCAGACTCCCCTCTCACCCCTGAGTCGCTGGATGCTCCACAGTAAGAGCAGAGCAGCTAACACCACCTCTCTGGAGCTGCCCTACCGTTCCCCGGTCCCTTTTGCCAAGCAGGAATTTTCCAAACAAGAGTTCTGGGAGATGTTGGGCAGCGATCTTCTGAAACCAGACGCCTCCAGCTCCAGAGTCAAACGACGGCCAATTGTCAAAACCGGCAAATTCAAGAAGATGTTTGGCTGGGGAGACTTCTACTCCAACATCAAGACGGTGAGACTAAACCTCCTGATCACCGGCAAGATCGTGGACCATGGAAACGGCACGTTCAGCGTCTACTTTCGCCACAACTCCACGGGCCAGGGGAACATCTCAGTGAGCTTGGTGCCACCGGTCAAGGCGGTAGAGTTCGACCTGGAGCGCCAGAGTGTGGTCTACCCAAAGGACTCAAAGATCTTCAACTGCCGTGTGGACTATGAGAAGGTGGATCGCAGCAAGCGCACCTCACTGTGCAACTACGACCCGTCCAAGACCTGCTTTCAGGAGCAGATCCAGAGCCACGTGTCCTGGATCTGCTCCAAGCCTTTCAAAGTCATCTGCATCTACATCTCCTTCTACAGTACGGACTACCGTCTGGTCCAGAAGGTTTGCCCGGACTATAACTACCACAACGAGATGCCCTATCTGCCTTCAGGGTAGAGGGTTTGTGGAGGGGGAGGAGAGGTGGGAGGAGAGAAGGAAAATAGGGGGTGAGAGGGAATAAATGTGATTTAAGGGGATGAAACCAGGGCTGTAAATCGTCCACAGCAGGAGACACCTTAAAAAAACCCTCTCTGTAGCCTGACTTCTGTAAGATGTAAAAAGATATATGCAAACTCTAACTACAGTATGCAGATAATGAGGCATTTTGGAATGCTGAGCAGCAGCATTCATTAACTGGGACTGAGACTGAGATTCAAAAACACGCCAACATGCACATTCTTACCTCAATCCAGTTTCCAAATACCAACGTTATCACCAGATATGTCTCTCCTTTATTCACTCCGTTCAGTTAACGTTGAGTGTCCTTTTAATTACTCTTTGCAATGTAGCTCTTTAGCAAAGTCACTAGGCAGTATTTTCAGTGAATGAAGGCATTTAAAGGCTCTGATAATACCCACTGGAGAGTTGGATCCAAATCCAGACGTTATTACAAACATCATACCGTTTTTTAACATCATACCCTGAAAAGACAAAGATAAAACCGACCACAGGGAGCGTTGTTTCTTCACTCATTAAAAGTGCAGATGAATGTAAAGTGTAACCAGTAACAGGATCATTAAGGTGGCACTTATTCCTTCAGATCCACACCCAGAAGTTCATCTATCCATATTCACAAGTATCATAACACGCCATTGTCAAGGTGTAGTGTAGGATTTTTGTACCCTGTCAAACCTAATCACAGCCTAACTCACAAATACGTTGGCTCCATTTCAATGAAAATAAAAAATAAAAAAACCTAAAAGGTGAGAGGAAGAAAAAAATGGAATTTGCAAGCAAAAGCAATTGCTCAACAGAGATTTAGGGCCAGGGCTTAAGACAAGTTCAGTGTGAAGAAAATAACTAGATTTTGCATCGAGATAGAATTGGCCCTCCATACTTAAGAGAGAGGGAGCGAGGGAGGAAGCGAGAGGTGGGAGAAAGAGAGGGAGAGATTCAGTGAGCTGTTTTAATTAAAGTGGAGAAGGAGATGTAGAGTATGCAGCTCTGTCTATTGTCCCCTCTGTATGAAAAAGATTACATTTTGTTGCCGTCAGGATTCCTGATTTCACGCCTTGATAACTTTGACTGTGTGCGGGAGATTGCTCTCTCCCGACAAATGCTGTGTTCAGTAACGGCGGGGCGTTATCTTGAATAAATGAAAATATTATCATAATAATTACATATAATTTAATCTCCTTTAGAGCTAATTAAGGTTTCAACGAGAGGGCGAATTGTATTCCTAAAAATCAAGACAGCATGAGGATAAGAGGACCTTCACAGGGATTGTTGTGTGTTTCCTAACATGGAGCTGGCAGCCAAAGCTTGACCAGTGTTAACTGCTCTCATTAAGATAAATGGCCACTAGCTGGCCCATCTCATGTTGCTCTCACAAACAATATCAGTCGAGAGCAGCACACAACGGAGCAATGAATTAGGTAGGTTGTGTGCAGAGAGGTTAACGCCATGCTGCTTATGAGGACACAATGACTTTTCAGTTCATTAACAATGAACAGTTGCAAGACAGGTGTGAAGAGTCATTAAACGGCAATATCAGATAACCGGTTTGATGCTAATTTGATGTGATATGAGGGATAAAGCCCAGATCGAGCAGCCATGTCCCAGGTGGACCGTGAATAAAAGCGTCGTCCTGTGGAGGGAGGCATAAGGCCAGACATGAATGTTGTCTCAGCTGCTCTGTGTGAGAGCAGAAAGAGGAAGGGAGAACAGTCGCTAGGGCTAAAGATAGCAACAAAGAGCTGTAAATGTGCGCATCGGAGCTCCGAGTTTTTAATTTACTCTTAAAGAGGGGGGTAGCTCCTCTCCATATGCCACCAAATCAGCTTGAGCAAACGGTAGCAGTGCACGAGCAACTCTGCAGGAGACTGACAGCCAAAACACCTGCCGGAGTGATACATGCTGCTCATGCAGCTGAGTCAAACCTCTGCTTCCTCTCCCAGGTGATAATTTTATCATCCTGGCAGATATCCCCCGCTCAATGTGGCCGTTCATAGTAGAAGCATATTTTGCTTCTCTCTTTCTGCAAGTGTTGTGCAATCAGATAAAAAAATTTTAAGAGGCAACCATCAATCAGAGTGCCAGCTCTTAGAAGGCCTGTCTAGACGCTCTCTTATTTCTGCCACATCACAGCAAGTGATTATGCAGTATTTATTTGAAAGCACACATCAAGAGTCCCAGTGGATACATGTGGGACTGGCAGCAACTGAAACCAAATCTTTGACACACGTCACGTCTGACAGTTTTTTCTTTCACTGCTTGATGAGTGCGTGTACAAGCGTATCAGCCAGCATGAACAAAGCCATGCTTCATCTCCTGATCATCCCATTGACTGTACTGAGAGTTGGTGTAGTGTTGATGACATTGTGAAGTTGCCCTCTCTTGACCATTAGAGGGAATGCAGTTAACAGGCACTTAAAGGTTTTAACAGCCAGTGGTTTATGTCAAACAACATCCTTGAAGCCACTGCTGTAGTGCAAAAACTGGTGTACCTCGCATGTCCACTCTGGGTGAAACACAAACGCAAAGGACTCCCCATTAGGCCCTGTTAAAAGGCCTATTGATAGAGTGGATAAAAGCAGCTTGGTACTGAATATGATTTTGTTGAGTAAAGCTGTTTTCACAGAGGGTGACTTTGCAATGGTTTTGCATAAATGTGCATAATTAGGGGACATGATTGATTTGATTTGATTGACAGGTGGGCGTGTTGTAGCTGTTCGCCCACCTCTTTACCTGAAGCTAGACCAGTCAAAAGTTAGGCTGTGACATTATTTCTAATATGGTGACTGCCACTGTTTGGCATCATACTGTCCATAGTGAAATAAATGGTTGATGTCACAGAGATTACATCCATATTTTAAACAGTCAATGATCTTTATTGTCATCCTCCAGCTCCCTTTGCCACTTATACCTCCATATGTCCACAAGTTACTCTGCCATGTGCCCCTTTTCTCTACTCTCTGCTGTCCTCTAACTGTGTGTGACCCTGCTGACCAGCCCTCCCTACCTCCGATACCCTAGCATTGAACCCTGCTGTTGGTAGTTCCTCGTCTCCACCCCACCCGCTCTCCTGCTCACAGCACTACTCTGAGCTGGCTAATCTCTGTGAGCTTAATGCGGAGCACTGAGAACTCCCCTCTCTCTTCCTCAATCTATCTATTTCCCTCTTTAACTAGATCCCATCAAACAAATGCGTGTGCACACACAGTCTTAAGACGTGCTGGTTTAGGTAGTCTCCTCTCTCATGTTCAAAGCATCTTACATAAGCCCCTGGATTGTGAGGACATGTGATCTCCTCGAGAGCATGCCAACGGAGTGCCCGACACGGATGCGCCCCAGTAACCTCAATACCCCCTTCCCATTTCCACCCCCTTCTCCCCTCATCATGCAGGGCAGCTGGGGAGAAGCTTGATACTCACACATGTTGGAGCGCTGAACTCATGTAGAAACAACAAGGACACATGGCGTGCCGAAGTCCCTCACCCTGCTCCTTACCGATCCTCTCAGATTTACAGCAATACTCTCACCAAGACTCCACCCTCCCGCCTCTGTGGGGGCCACTTAAAACAAGGCTGCTGGACTACATCTAAGAGAGGGTCATGTTGCTTTGGGATGGACCATGTTGCTACGGTAGCAGCCTTACTGTTGAGTCATCCAGCGCCAACAGACGTGGATACCAGGCCTTAGAGACTGCAAGAAAACACTGGTCCACTCAGCAGAGAATAGTAACAAAACTGGACAGTTGAAAAGATAAATATACATATTTAAATATATATATATATAAAGCTAAGAGTCCTCAGATCTGAATAAAGTTGTATTTAACTGTGGGTCATGCAGTGGAGGTCGTCTGTTTTACCTTTCTGTTCCTCATGGTTTTTGTTTCTCTATGTCATGTGGATGATATACTGTATGGATGATATGATGGCATTTACTGTGGTTTTCAACATCTAAAAATCAATAAAGTACCAGAAAAAGTACTTAAACCACTTCAGTCACAGAGGTATGGACTCAAATCTTATATGTGATTGTGCTTCATGTATAGGAAGAGTGTCAACAATGCTCAAGACTCTATTTTATTCCCATATTTGCATACCCATACTGTGTGCGCCGACGGCAAAGAAAAGATGTGACAGTTTTCGTTTTTTTTTTTTTTTTTTTTTTTTTTTTTGTGCCCAGGGCTTTGGCAGATATACATGCAGAGAAGGAAGAAACAGAGGGAAGAAAAGAGAAGCAGAGAGGAAAATGGGGTTGAAAGAGAGAAGAGGAAGGAAATGTTTCAACTGGAAATGATGCTTGAACACAACTCCATTCCCTAATTAGCCTCCTCTCTCTTTTCTCCCCCCTCCTCTTCCTCTCCTCACTTTTCTTTGTTGTTCGTCTCAGCGCTCCCCGTTCATTTAAGGATGTAACTGACATTAAATTCATTTTACTTCTTAATTAAATCCCAGACAACTGTTAACGAGGGGATGGGTTCAAACATTCAGCTCACAACATGCCTTTAAATAAGATCGATTACGGCATGGCTGGAGGCAAAGCCAGCCCCCACCTTTCATGCCCCTTGTTCCCATAAAAGTGCTTCTTGCCTGGGGATAACCTTGCCAGGGATGATGAAAGGGAGGCAAATAAGTCAACACGGAGACAGAAGAATAGAAATCTAATTTGGAAGAAAGCCGGATTGAGGTTAATATGAAATCTGGGAGAGCAGCTGAGAGGGTCAAACACGCACACAGGCGCATAGGCGTTCACTGAGGGTGCAAACTGCAGGCAGCAATCATTGATAACAGACATAAGGGTTTACAAGAAGTACAGAATAATTTTTGTTGTCCAGGAAAAGAAAACAATTTGAGAGTGTGAACTTCTCCGAGAGGAAAGGGCATTGCAGTATGAGTAATGGGAAGCTGGACGATAGTCAATTGAGAAAATAACTAGTCATGGCACGAGGAGGCGGGAGAAGGCGTGTGAAGCTTAAAATGATAAATAGACACACCGAAAAATAACCTTGAGGTATGAAAGCGTGTGTCTGTGAAAACTGGAGACAAGGGGAATGAGCAAAGACAGACTGCTCTCTCACACTTTGTTTCCAATAAAGAGTTAGCAGGTTTGCATTTTCATCCTCAGCAATAATTGTGTCATTTCCTTGCACGGCATGTTAAAGCTCCAAGTGTTGTAGTGCTGCGGCAGAGGATATTGCACCCTGCAACATCATACCCCTCACTAACAGTGGTAAAAAAAGTCAAAAGCTTCAATCTCCGTGCTCTCATTTCTTCACACTTTGAAATCATAAAGTGAGGATTAGAAGGTGTACCAGTTTGATGAGATTCAAAAGCAAAGACAGAGAAATAAAAGAGAGATACCAAGGTCTTATTAAAAAGCTGATTTCGTCAGTCATCTGGAACTAACACGATACAGGTTGTTCCCTGATGCCAAACAAAATCTGTAACCATGCAATCAGGATAATCTTCCAGGTATAATTCTGTTTTTTAATCTACTTTTGTCAAGAATTTCTCAATTTGGATAACTTCTGTGCTCCCTGAGCTCTTTTTATTTCTAATTTGCAAGTGGGATCAGCCCACAAACTCAACATCCATTAACAAGACCAAAAGTTAAACTAGATGAGACTAAAGCATTGTCTGTTTTCAAGAGTTTTATTCACAATGAAAAATTAAAGACTTGAGCTAGGGTGAGATAAGTAAGGGTCGAGGTGGGAGAGAATGAGGGAAGGATGATTATCGGTGTAGGTAAACATGGCCAGGACGCTAAGAGAGACACTCACGGTCTCAAAGTTCAGTCTTTTTGATAAAAAACACAATCCAGTATGTGTCTTTACTTCATAGTATATCATTGTTTCCTTTAATGCATACTTTTGACACAATGAGGGAGGACATTCAAAAAAATGCAGCACTGCCAGACCCATCCAGGAGTCCCATGATGCTCTGTGCAGCGAGGTGCATGTTTGCAATACACAGTGAATGGGGTGAATTTTCTGTCGCTTGAAGATGCATTTGGTCTGCCAGCACCGTAGGTACAGAGGTAAAGTAATGAAGCAACAAAGAGGTGGAGACTCAGGGCAGGGATACGTCTTGGCTCACTTCTGGTTTATGATTAGCTGCATGAGGTTTAATTAGTTTCAAAGGCGTGGTCCTGTTCTTGAACTTACTAGCTTCATGAAAATGCCATTGGTTTGGGGTTTCTGAGATCCTATTTTTAACTGAGACTGCAGAGATACAACAAGCAAAATGCTGGACTATACCAACTGTACAGGTAATAAACAATTCCAGCACCTCTTAGGGAAGATAAGCACTGTCAGTGTTGGTGGTCAGATCAGCTCTGGGTCCTGTCAAAAACGCCAATCTATATGATTGGCTATATGTTTTATTGATGACGTCTTACACTGTGATCGGCTGTTTGACAGAAATATTGTTTGTTCGGAAGTTTCAGAGTGTAATTCCTGTGGGTGAAGTTTCTGTGATCTTTATTGAGAAATTAAATTTGATGAGTAAATATGAAGTTATTTATTTGTAAATTCATTGTCATCAATGAGATAGCAAAAAATGTTCTCAAATTAATACATTAAAGCTCCAGTGAGGTGTTTTTTTGTGTGGATGACATGGGCTGAAATAATTTTTGACGCCTCTTAACGACTGTAAAGGCAATCAAGACCATCAGCAACAAGACAAGGGATTTTAATGTTGTGGTGTTTGATGCCTCAGGTGTCAGTAGAGTAGCTAAAGACACAGCCCTGTTTGTACAATTTCCTCATGAATTATTCACAATAAATAAGATTCTTGTCTGTCAAAAGTCAGCAGGATGAGACAAGATAAGCATAGACTGTTTTGTCAACAGGGGGCGCCAAAAGTACCAAAGGTTCCTCAGGGGAGCTGTATAAATTAGTTTAAAAAGTTACTACACTTTAAGAAATGGAGACAGTACTAGATCAGGATCAAGATTTCTATAAATATGGCATTTACCTACAAATGTCTCTTGGGGTGTGAATATGATACAGCATTTCCTCTTTTCTATTTCTGGTGATCACATTGACCCGGGGTCCTCCACACATTCTGCAACTATACGAAGACTGAAGCTAAAAACTGTCAGGTTTCTACTGTACAGCCAATCACAAAGTGCAAACGTTAGCATTTCCATGCCCACAGAATCAAACTGTGTGGTGTCACTAGCAAGTACAGAACCCAAGCTGAACTGAGTACCTAGACTGAAACAGCATTGCGGCAGCAAAAAACAGATGCTGCAGTGATGGACAGAGATTTTTAATTGTGGATTTTAGAGGCTTTTCTATGCTTTATTAAATATACAGTTCATACATTTAACATTAAATCTGAACCTGTTTTGTAAAATGAACCCTTATCAAGCATTAAGTGTCTGCTATCTGATTCCTCATCATGTCAGACTCAAGACTTCAGATCTTATAGAGAGGGATTAGAGCTTTTGTTACCTGGATACCAACTCCATCCAGATGCAATTTATTATCAAACCCCCCTTCCGCTTCTGCTGAATTCAAATACTCTTGATATTCTTTGATACTCTGAATTGTCTGTCAGATCTATCACGGTCACGCTCTTATTAGGGCCGCAATTTTATAAAAGCAAAATGCAGACACGTGCTCGCTGCACACACACACACACACACACACACACAAACAGGAACACACTTAAGTGGTTTCATGCACCAGCATCCTAATAGTCTCTCTGGTCTGTAGAGTGGACAAGCGGGTGGGCCGAGTCTCCATCGCAGAGCATCATGAGAGACAAACAGGGACAAATACGGGATCAGGCTCTCAGCCCCCGCAGCTTCTTTGGTGATGAAACAGCACAGCCTCGATCTGCCAGTCACCGAGTTTCTGCACAGACTGGACACACTGCGCAGGGCACACATGCTCGACGGAGGGAAATTATAGTGCAGTGAAGAAGGGGTTGAGGAAACAGCAGGGGGACGTGGAGGCTGTGAGAGCTTGTTGCAAAAAGAAAGCACAGATGGCCCAGGGCTACAGCATGGTGCGAAGAGGAGAGAATAACTGAAAAGAATAATTAGAAGAGGGCCGAATTTCACACACACCTCCTTAAAGTTAGCTCACCCCTACCTCTGCTTGCAAAATATGTTACATCTATATAAATCAATTTTTTCACAGAGAAAACAAGACTTGAAAATAAAGATGCTAAAATATCACAGGGCTTTTACGCTTCCCTGTGACTTGTAACACAATAAAAGAGGAAATGAAGTTTGGATTGGACAAAAAGTCTCACATGTCAACGCCGGAGTGAAATTCAAGCTGGGCGCGTGTGTCACACAATGTGGCAGTTATAGCTTGAGGCCATGATGGAGACATTAAGGCTGTGATCTCTGTATTAGCCAGGGAAAAAAGGACATTTCCACTTAACTAAAGGTAGCCATGGAGAGGCGGGGTAATTTAAATTCAGTGACAAGGCTTTAAATACCAGCCCGGGATCACAGTTGTGCCCTTTGGCAAAGTAATTATTCACTCCCTTAGAAGACGATCAGGTGTGGATGTGCGGTCGTGTGCGCGAGGACTGTGTCGGCATGTGTGTGTACGTGTTTGAGTGAACCAGGAGGGAGCGGGGGAGGTGTGAAATGTTACAGTTTCTCCTCTTTTCATGTAACTGAGAAGTGTTTATGCCAAACTCTTCAGAGGAGAGAAAAGGTGTTCATCTAAGGGCGCACATCAGGTAATAAACGTGAGGATGGAAAAAAAAAAGAGAGGCAGACATGAAACAAGAGCTGCTAAAGGTTAGCTTTTCCACCTCTCCATCACTGTCTCTCACCAGTTTGGTCTCGCCTTGCATGGTTGTTTTTTTATAACCTTCAACCATGAGCGCTGTGGTCTCAGGAGGTGGAGGAGGAGCCGCCTCCTGCTGATGCTGGGCCGAGGATCAGCTCAGGGGCTGATGGGATGAGGATGAGGCTCTCATTGGCAAACTGTCCTTCAAAAACTGCAGCCTGATGGATTTTGTTGGCTCTGGTGTTGCTTCTATCTCTCCCAACACATCCTCCTTGCCTTCCTCCTGGCAGCACTCCATCTCCCTCGAGTTCCCTCTATAGCCCCTAAGTTACCAAACAAGTAGCCCCAACACACATATTAACACACTCACAAACATCCACATACTTTTCTGCAGGTTTGTTTCTGCTGACGGCCCAGTACTTAGTACTGCAGGGCTGCTTCTTGATAAGGCAAAGACATCGTTGGCGGCCATGTTTCTTCTCATTATCTTTGTTTGGGACTCGCTCACACCCACAGTGCCATCTTTTCCCTCCCCGGGCCTGTCATGGGAGAGTGTCGGGTTTGCATCGTTATCAACGCTCCTGCAACTCCATGAGTTCATCACGTATGCGTCAATGTGCAGACTCAGCTGCAGAGAGCACACAGCACCTCCATCAGTCTTCATTTGCCTTCTCTTCCTTGTCGTATTTTCTCCTCTTTTCGTTGGAGGAGAAGAAATACAAACCTCTTGAGTGAGCAGCATCATTTTCTCTCTCCTGTTACCTTGCAGGATTTTCATGAGCGGTTTAATGTACACAAAAAAGGCTGATTGTTAAAAAAGATTAAAAAAAGGAGGTGTGCATCCTGCTGAGTGCAGAGGTTCTTAAAAACTCAGACTCCAGCTTTGGCCACAGTAAAAGGTCACTTAAGAGCATCATATCTCCCCGTGTGTGCTTGATACAAATGGTACAAGCATAAACACTTTAAAAGTGAATCTCCCCTTGAGTAATTCTAAATGCACTTCATGAATGCACACTTGGTTGACCTCAGGAGTTCTCCTCCAAAGGCGGAGCACTGAATGCTCTCAGAGATTCCCCTTATGAAACGGACAAGTCTGGACATGTTCCCTCTGTAAAATGTCTGAATAAACTCCTTGCTGCTCCTTTTTATTGCTCTGGGCTGGATTGCTATCAATGGCTCGGCTTCTCCCGTTTACAACACCTTTAAAAAGAGAAAGCTACGATGGAGAGCGGGCTCATGGCAGGAAGGTAATTGGAAGACTGGACTTTAATATGACCTCTCAATGATAATGGACGGTCATACAGTGAGAGTTGCTGTCTGACATTTGAGCAAGTTAAGAGAGGATCACAGCTTGGTGTTGATGAATTATTTCACATATAGTGCTGAAGTGTCTTAAATGCTGGCCAGATACTGAATAGCACCTTTGCAGCTCCTTCATTGTGAATCATCTGAAAATAGAGGTGAGAGAAGTATTTTAGTCCTATGTCCTGTACTGTTTTATAAATTGTATATCAGGATTAAGAGATTTTTAGTCTGCTTTTTGTCTGGCGTTACACTAAAAACACAATTTAAGTTTGTTTATATCTGAGATTGACTGAACAGTTGAGCAGCATCAGCAATAGTACACTAAATCCAAAAGGTATATCTCATATGGAGTGGTCTTGATTCATGTAAAGTAATTATCTGATCACTGTCTCTGTAAATCTTATATAAAAAAAAGAGGTGCACAAAACTGTCCAGTTTGACTGTCAATGTCACTACCTTATGACTCCTAACGGCAGCCAAAAAGGTATTATACCTGCACTTTAACTTTTGGAGGCATTTTGTATTTTCGGTGTCTCGTGCATCTTTAAACCATTGTCTTGTAATGAATTGATAGTTGCAGAATCAGAAGAGCTGATATAGCTAAGCAGTGAAAGCGCCCAATGTTCAGAGTTATCAGTTTGAGTCCAACCTCGGCTCTTTGGTGCACCTCATCTTCACTGTTTCCCAAACATCAGACATCCCGTTAAGTAAACACAAAATGCTATCGATGTCCGAACATGACAGATTTATAACTCTGTTGTTTTACATATAATAACAGAATATATATTAAACACTTAAGGGGGTTGTTAGATTTGATCCTCTGTCATGTAATGTGTCACCATGTCAGCTGCACTGACGCGACTGCCTGCAGTTTCAGCAGAAATTACTTGTTCAGTTTTTAATCAGCCTCATGAGCCCATGTATCACCTGTGCCGATTATTCTAAAAAGCCAATAATCAGCTGGATAAATTGGCTTGACCGACTAATTGGTCTATCTCTGTTTAAAACCTTACCTTAGACCTGCAGTCTGACTAACAACCTACAGGGGGCAGCTGGAAGGCTAGAAAAGGAATAAGTCTATGAAAATGTCACTGGATTTATTTTTTTAAGGAATTTATGGGTTTTTGTTTGTCTTCGATTCAAGTTCTCTGGAAAAAAATAGTTTATAATTTAAAGCACCAGTGAGGAACTCTCTTTTTTGTATCAATTTTGGTGCCCCCTTGTGGACAGATCACTCTTTACTTATCCTGTTCTCAACATGCTGAAGTAGTGACTTTTGAAAGAAAAAAAAACCTCTTCCTGCTGACACTTGACAGTCAAATGTATTATTTATTGTGAATACTATACGTGAAAATTGCAAAAGCAGGGCTGTTGTTTCAGCTGCTGATCTAACATCTACC